TATTAGTTCCATGAACTGTAACCGCACTGACTTAGAGAAAAGTGTCAAACGACTTAGGTTATGTGGTCTCCACTGAAAACCATCACAGATACTGCTTCATGGCCACCAGCAGTGGAGGAACTTGGAAGGGAAAACACAGCTTAATAACTATTACCCGGAGCATCGCTTCTTTTACTTTCACAATTTCTCTATTAGGAGAATACAATCCTGTGTTTCACTCTATAAATGAAGCAGAGGCCCATAAAGGAGCTTGCCCGAGGTAATGAAAGCAAACCTATGCCGTCTGCCGCAGCAGCACACTTCGCTTCCTGTTTCCAAAGAAAAATCTCTGTATTCATATGCTATTATTGTTCCAAAAACATTCTTTAGAAAAAGATTTAATTTATTTATTATGTATACAGTGTTCTGCCTGCACACCAGAAGAGGGCACCAGATCTCATTATAGATGGTTGGGAGCCACCATGTGGTTTCTGAGAACTGAACTCAGGACCTCTGGATGAGCAGCCACTGCGCTTAACCTCTGAGCCATCTCTCCAACCTCCCGAAATCATTCTTAACATCCATTGTTGGGCTATAGTATATTAAAGCTGAAATATGAAAGAGCTGATGAGCTGGCTTAGTCGGGAAAGACACTTGCTGCCAAGCCTGGTGATATGAGTTTGACTCCTGGGATCCATATGGTGGAAGAAGAGAACTGACTTCCACCGATTGTCACGTGGCCTTCACATGTACACCATGACACGCATGTGCCCACACATGGACATAAAATAAGTCAATGTAATCAGTGAGGAATTTTCTAAGAAGGAAGATTAAAAGGGGCATAAGTGGGAGATGGAGCCAAATCTGAGTATCATTTGAAATGGAAAAAGAAACAACACTGTGTACTTACTAGGTAGCCCTTCATAGTTGTTCTAGGCAGTTATATTGTTAGCAAGCAAAGAAACACTTCATAATCAGTTACGTAATCAAGATGGGTTGCTATTGAGTGCTCCATGTTGCCTCATTCTCTCGATGGGATGCCAGGCCCAGAGAGGCGAAAGGTCACAAAAGGGTGGCTGGTCCCAGACTCTAGCTCTTTCTCTAGGTGACCATAGTCTTTCTTAGACTCTAAAAGAATCTGCTAAAGAAAGCTTTCGCCTTCCCCCTGACATTCACTGACTGCTGCTTTGGCCCCGGTCCTCACGTCGGGGCTTTTGTATGGACGGACTCCTTTCAGGCTCACGCAGTTCTCACGTGTAGCTCTGTTGTGTTACAGATGGAACTGTAAGAACTGCTACCTGTTGAGACCTTGCTACTCCATCCACCTGGAGGAGCATCCCTTCTCTCCCAGCTGTATTTCCGGTTTCGCGGTCGTTGTTGACAACACAGCAAGAGGCCTAACCTCTCTTGAAAATCAGGCTTTGACGGTGAAGAAGATTTCATTTTTATTTAAACAAATCCTATTTACAATAATTTCAGATAAATGAGGAGGACCTTACAAAAACTAAAAGTAAAACCCAGGCACCGTTCCAAGTTCTCTTGCATACTCCAAGGCCAGTGGCTCCATAATCCTGTCACAGAATGGTTGAGAGCACTGGGACTTAGAGAAAGCCAGGGTTGAGACCCCCATTTTCTACTGACTAATTGTAGAACCGTGAGTGATTAACACAACTCCCCGAGCCCTGTTCTCTTTATTTGTAAAATTGGGAAGATATTTCTGTTCCCTCCCCTTAGGCTCTTGAAAAAGACCAGTGAAACAACTCCTCTAACAGGGATAAACAGAATCTGGTACATGAGAAAGGCTCAAGAAATAGCTAGTGTTGCTATTGTTAAATGTGGATTGCATTCTGAATGATCCCTAAAGAGGATGCAGGGCTCTGATTAGGTTTCACGGCCCGTCCAAACTCCGCAACCCAAAATATATATGTGTGTAACCTCTCTGCCCCTGCTTCCTCCTCTGAGACACCCGCTCCTTGATAGTATCCCACAAAGGCTGGGAAGATCAAACAGCCTGAGGCAAGACAGTGCTTCTGAAAGGCCAAAACAGGAAAGCAAGCAAATGTTTGAGTTGTTTGTCTCAGTTTGCGGGCACATCTACCCCTAAATCAGTCTTTGAGAAACAGGAAACTCCCCCATAGCAGCTCTGAGGGTGTAGAGGGATGGGAGTGGGGTCACCAACCAAGAGGCTGCGGCATCAGAATCTGCCAGGCTCCTTCAGTCAATTCTCAGGTGACTGCGGCTGTGTGCACCTATCTAGTAGAGAATGACATTGGTGTCTGTAGACATTGTCATTGTATGTATGTATTTATTGTATGTATTTATGTATTATGTATGTATTTATTGTATGTATTGTATGTATGTATGTCATTGTATGTCAATGTAGACATTGGTGTCTAGTAGAGAATGACATTGTTCCATTGCTTTGAAGAGATACCGTGACCACGGCAACTCTTAGAAAAGAAAGCATTTAATTGGGAGCTCGCTTACTGTTTCAGAGGCTTTGGTCATCGTCGTCATGGCAGAGAGCCTGGCAGTACATGTCACAGCATGGGAGCAGCAGCTCAACGGCTGGCAACAGGCAGAGACTGGGTATGGCATGGCTTTTTAAAACCTCAATGCTCACCCCTGGTGACAAACCTCCTCCAACAAGGCCACACCGACTCAAGGCGATGCTTTCTCATACTTTGAATCCTTTAAAGAGGTGCACTCCCTGGTAACTACGCATTCAAATATGTGAGCCTACAGGGACCATTTTTATTCAAACCACCACAGTAGGTGAATACACACACACGGTATAAATTATCTCTACACTGCTTCTAACAGTGTCTGCATAATTCTGCTGTTCTATAAGCCAAAGATACATTATTTCTTGGTGAGACTCTTCTCTAACAAGCTTTTGTTATTTTTTGATAATTTCATGCATAGACATGGCACAGTCTAATTACTGCCACCACACCCTCCTTTATCTCCTTCCTGCCCACCACCCCTCCCCTTCCCTACAAGTCTCTTTCCATACTCCTGTCTTTTTGCTTTGTTTTGTGAGCCAGTGAGTTTAACCAGGGCCATATGGGTGACCACAGGTTTGGAATGGTCCGTTGGACCCTCATGTACTTGTAACAGGTATATAGCTGAAGACAACATCTATGGGTAGCCCATAGTTCAGCAGGGATTCCAAGCAGGCTCCTCTCTTGAGGAAGAATCATTTTTATTTTTTTTCTAGCAGTTCTTTGAGAATTTCATACAATGTGTTTTGATCACATCCACCCTTCCCCTCCCTCCTCCCAGATCCACTCCTTCCCTCTTACCCTTTTTGGTCTTCCCCCTTAGGACCAATTTGCGCTACCTACACCATCTTGAATGTACGGCCTTCGCAGGGACATAGGGGCAACATGTTAAAAATGATTAAAACCCTCCCTCTCCTGGCAGCTATCAATTGCTAACAGCTTGGAAGGGGACTTCATGTCTACTTCCCTGCTCCATGCCGGCCTTCGGTCTGGACTGTGTTCGCAAGGGGCCTGTACAAGCTGTCACAAGTGCTGTGAGCTCCTATGTGTAGCTGCTGTTTTGTCCAGAAGTCACTGCTGTGTTTCAGTCACCTACCGCCTCTGGCTCTTACAGTCCTTCCACAACCTCCTCCATGGTGATCCCTGAGTTTTGGGAAGAGGGAACAGGATTATAGATATCCCGCTTGGGGCTGAGCATTCCAGTCTCTGCTTCTCTGTACCATGGCCAGTGTGAGTCTCCGTGTTAATCACCATCGACTACAAAGAGAAACTTTTCCGAAGAGAGTTGCATTAAGATGCATTAATTTGTTTTGGCACCATGCGGGTAGGCTAGAGGGTTCTTGGCAGAATGGGCGTGGGATCTGGCAAGTTCAAATGGAGGTCTGGGTTCCTGCCAAGTAGCTGCTGGGTGAGTTGGATGGGGTTGGGTGGGGTTGGATCTTGGTGTCATTGTTTAAATACTCAGACACCTGTCCACACCCACATAGCTGCTTCCATTACTCTTGACACAGTAGGTCTGGGAAGCGGGCTTTGGTGCACTAAGCCTCCAGTGCCTCCCTTAAGGCCACTGCAAATTTATCTGAATTCTAACCTCAGAACACATGCTTACCATGCAAATACAGCTTCCTCTTCTATCCACATGCCTCATCTGAGTTCCTGGGATATTTTCTGTCTTGTCCTTAAAATGATGGGTCTGTGTGTTGGGAGATTCAGGGGAAAGGGGCCCTGCAGGAAGAATCCCAAGGAACAAATCCATTTGTCCAGCTTTCTTTAGAACTCTCCCTTATATCCTAATCAGGGACCAAGCTCAGAATGGAGTCCTAGACACAGCCCAGTGGAAGTCCCATACTCTGCTTCCCATGCGTAATGGACCACAGAGCAGGAATTGATTCTTGCAATGGACTTGGGCATTTGTGAACTGAGACACATCAAATGCCCAGCACACCCAAGCCCTGAGAGCCAAGCTTGCCGGAGGAGTAACTACTCATTACCGTCAGCAATGACAGAGGAACTTTGACCTACAGAAGCTGCATGCCACCCTCACAGCAGACAGTGAGAGAGTATGGCCAGTGGCCTGGCACTGTAAGCAAGTACCAGTTCGTTTGTCTTCCATCAACCCTGCATTTCTCAGTTCAACTCCCTCCACTGCTGCCAGAATCTTTTAAATGCAAATGTCATTGCCTCTTCCTGATCAATGAAATTTTATCTTCATGGACTTTTAACATATGCCCCTTTCCACCTACCCTTTATTCTCCCGGTTTGCCCCCTCCCTTCAACCACTCTCCTCACAGGACCCATCTCAGACCCTGCTCAGGGTCACGTCCATTCTGGACTCTCCCAGATGCCCCTGCCTCTGGCTATCCTCTCCCGCATAGATAAGGTCTACAATAACCTTCTCCTCCACCATACTTAGGAGTGGCTATGCCCTTCCTTTTTTTTTTTTAATTCAGAAACCATTTTAATTTAAGCAAAAATTGAGGTGTCAGCAGCAATTTGGAACTCAAGCCACAGACCCTATATTTGTAAAACATACAGCTTTATTTTTGCCACGTGCAACTGTTGACTTGTGGCCTCTACAGAAGATAAGACATATATGCAGTATTTTTTATCATGAACATAAGCAATAAATACCCTCCTGATCCAGGCATAAATACACAATCCCAAACATTACAAACTGCAAGAGCTACAAAGTACAACTGGAACCCAAGCCTTTCATCACGGGGATTTTCTGTGAAGACAGAGCACCATTTCCAAAAATGTGAGAGAATCCCATATTCCCGTGCAGGACACTGGAGAGGTGCACACATGTCTGTCCTGGCCTCCATGGAGCTGAGGTTAAGGAAGACAATACGGGGGCTGGTCTTCTAAACCATGCCACAGACATCTCTCAGTTCCAGTGTTTTTCTTCCAGGCTGGATGTCCCAGAAACCATCTCTTAATTAACGGTTCCAAAAAGAGAATATGCAGTAGGCTGAGAAGTAAACAGGCATGATTGTGGCCCAGCTGAGGAAGATTGTTTTCTGAATGACAGAGTTTTATGTGGGCACAGTAATTATAGCTGGAAGCGAGGCATTTGAGTCTCAAGTCAGTCAGAATACCACGTGACTTACAAAGAAGGATCCGCAACTCAGATCACATCTCCGGGAGCTTTATCTGAACACCTTGGGAGAATCAAGTGTTCCTGGCACCAGGGAACAGTCCTCCTGCAAGGGCCCCAGTTGGAGGCTGAAGGGATAATTACAGGAAACACTCGGCAGGAGATTGGTTGAAAACCCTTTGAAGCTCTTGTATGAATGGCCTCAGGCAAAGTGACTCTGGTAGGTTGGGAGAATGAAAGGGTTAATTCCGGGTAACTTTGAAGTTGTGAACTCAGATCCTGGTGAGGATGAAGAGGAAGACAGAGAAGAGCCTATTTCAATGTGGGGCGTCCCACTGCGCCCCCCAGTGGTTTATTCAGGAGTAACACCACTGGGTGATGCTGCACTGCTTTAGGGCTGACTTTCCTCTAGTATTAATCTGCTCAGCAATTCCATTCTCAGCAGGAGGCAGTGCTGAAAAGAGACGAGGCTGCTCTGGAGTTATATTTGGGTGGCATTTCAATCTCTGTCCTTCCCAGTTCTGTAACTCGGCGTAGCTGTCTGTGTTTTGAAAAGACTGAGTTCGGCTTTCGGTAAAACATCAGTAATATTGTGCCATCGGGTTGGTATGAACTGATTCTCCTGGAAAGGCTTGTTGCTCAGAATATACGCATGTGACCTGTATAAGTGCCAATCAACAGTAGACATCTCATGCATTTTGGAAATGCCTCTCAGTGCTCGACTCTATGTCCTTCCAGATAGTTTGAACAAGGGCAAAAATCCTCCTTTTGCTAGGGTGTTGAGAGTTTTGAAGTCTCAACCTTAAAACTGCTAAACTCCTAAGGCCTAAGAGAACCCTGCAGTCTTGAGGCCACAGGGACCAACACTGTGCTGCCCTCTCTTGGTTCTGGTAGGTTGTGCAGATGCCTACCTTAGAGGTGGATGCTGCTCCTAAGAGGTCAGAACGATGAACATTCTATAGTCATTGCCTCAGCATTCTGCATAGAACAGGAGCCCCAGTCACCCACCCGAGTCACTACGACAGGGCCAGTGGATTAGTAACAAGCCAATGCCTTGTTTTGTACCTGTTGATACCCCACCACCAGAGGCCTGTCTGTCTCATTCCTGGTCTATCTCAGACACACAATGGTCCAGCCATGGGGTCTGAGTGGGTCATTTCACCCTCTGCACCCAATGAAGCTTTCTATGCTCCATCAAAGAGAGGTGGCAGTGTGCTCTGAAACCTCACGACATCCGGCCTCTGGCACAAGCAGCCACCCCACCACGTGTGGCAGGAAGTTGAGGTTGGCAGCCTCACAGTGAGCAGAACCCTCTGGCTAATCACCTCTTGCATTTCTTAGAAAAAGAATGAGGCTTCCCATTCTTCCATTTGTAAATGGGGATACTATCTTGTTGGGTCAAATAAAAGTTCTCTTGAGTATTCGACCTATGCTTAAAATACTAATAATAAGAAGAACATGGCCTATACGTGCTTCTCCCTATTGCTAAGAAGGGGAGGAAATGCTTCTGAGAGCAGGTGATGGAGCTTTGAGATAGCGTATAACAGAGGCTGGGGTGGGTGGGCACAGAGGCACAGTTACTGCTGTAGCCCAGTCTGGCCCAGTGGCTGGCCCTCCAGCTTCTTCTAGGATGCTGCAGTCACAGTTGCGTAGGGGCTGGCACCACGGTCCAGGCACCGGTGCGGGGTCCTGGGCTGCTGGCAGCTTTTAATGCTCTGGGAAAAGGACATTGTTCCTTCGCTCAGGATACATGGCTGTGGTTGGTCAACGAATCCCTGCTAAAGTCCAGATTCTGCAATTTCAGCCAGCTGATTCAACAGCTGGGAGAAAGGTGGTCGGTCCTCTGGTTTCTGCAGAGTGACAAAGAGAGCTCTGTGAGTTCCCCATACCTGCGTGTCCCGGCTAAGAGCAAAGCAGATCCGAATCCAATAGCAGCATCTGCTCTAAAGTCTTCCCACACAGGCTGTCTCGGGGGCAGGATGTTCTTACTGTCCATAACGGAGAGTCTGAGACCAGGTGGCCTAGTTTTAAATTCTGTTGTCTCTCCTTTGCTACCTGAACTACAGACTCAGTGCAACGTGAACCAAAGCTCCCAGCAAGCGATTCTGTGGTGGCAAAGAGCTGACTCTGAAATGTGTATGGAGAGGCAAAAATCTCAGGGAACTAAGACATACTCATTAGAACTAATCCTAGTGATGGCAAAGAAAAGCAGAGTGGGGACTGAGGCCACCCAAGCTCAGGGCTCACTCTGAAGTTAGAGGATTTGTGATAGTGCGACATTAGTGAAAGAACAAACAGTGGATCAGGCAGCAGAATAGAGGGCCTAGAAACAGACCAGGGACAGGGTAAGTAGACAATGGGAAGGACGGAGGGACAACAGACAGCGCTGTAACGGCACTCCCTATGGGAACCAGCAGTCTGAGTAACAGACCTTAGACAGCTCACAGGAAGTGGACCCTAGTCTAAGATGGGCCTGAATGTGAACGGTGGAACTATAAGACAAGTGATTGGGAGACGGAAATGGGTGAAATGGGGGAGGCAGCCTTGACTGGGGATGGGAGAGAGAAAGTCCAATAGGGAGAGTGACACTGAATAACGCTGAGGATGTCTGGAAAAGGGCATCAGAAATAATATCATTCATTTACCTAAAATTATATGCAATACATATTAGTCTGTGTGTATACATATATCGCATAAATGAAGTAATACCATTTGGGCTGACAGTACTTCCCCCATCCTCACCACGAGCCATAGACTACCTAACAAAAACCCAAATACCAGGCAAGAGAAACTCCTTATAGAGTTGCTGGTTATGGGAGGCCAAGGGACTCCCCAAACAATCTAGACTTGCTGTTGCCCTTGGTTGCCTCTCAGAGGCTGGAGGCAAGTGTCTATTGCTAAGACGCCATGCCCTCTGGATACAAGGCCTTGAGGAGCCAAGCTGGATCTGCCTTGAAAGCCTCCTCCCTTAGGTCTAGCTTTCATTATACTGAAAGGCGCTATGCAGTCTTCCAAGGGAGGTAGCCGCTGACAGTCCTACCCATTTGGGATGCCTACAAACACCATCGACTGTGAGCATGGCACGATAACTCTACGGGTGCAATAGTGGCACTCATAACCTGGCAGTAACCACCAGCTCTATTAGACTTAAAGATGACTCAACAGGAAGGAAATCCCACCTGGAAATTTACCCAACTACCTGGGGCTAGTGATGTCATAGACCTTAGAAAAGAACCTACTACTGTCACCTTATTAAACTAACTCAATTCCTAACTGCATTCTAAATATCTATCTTTATACCCACAGGTAAGTATAGCTTTCACTCCTCATAAACACCAAAACCAGAACCATCCATTTTCAACAGACGGAGGCCTTTACAGAAAGCCAGAAAGTGGTCAAATGCAGGGAACAAGTGTGTGGCCCCAACTAACACACTCATAACATAAATCAGGAACATTGTGGAGGGGGATCAATAAGAGACAGAGGACCAGAAAATCTGCTATGAGATTGTGTCTTTTAGAAATGGCAGGGAAGCTTCACCCATGCTACCTCAACAATATGGCTGCCTCAACAAGATCTGCAGAAGTATACCACCAATAGACATGCTAACATGGCGGCGGGGAGGGGATCTGACAGGACACCACCCTAGACTGGGAACCACAGGCAATTAAGGGATGCTGAGAGTAGGAGAAGTAGTCCTCCCCAGGGAGGAGCCCTGTAAGTGGTTTTCCAAGACCAACTGGTCATCTCTGAAATCTTATACATACAAGTAGCATTAAGTGGAATGAGTATGTTTTGTTTGTATATTTATGCACACTTGTGTGCGAGTGTAGCAATCACAATTAAAAAGAGCCCACGGTTTTGAGAGGGAGCAGAAGAGGAGGTGTGGAAGGGACTGGAGGGAGGAAAGGGAAGGAGAAACAGGATGCAATGATTTTTTTTAATTAAAAAATATAAAATTAATAAAATTACATTTCCATGAGATCATCTCAAAAGAGATCTGGGTTTTGTGTTGAGTTGTGATGCTGAACTTTGTTAAAACTGGAAAACTTCTGTAAGAGACTCTCTCAAGAGGGCCAGTGAGATGGCTCAGCAGGCAAAGGCGCTTGCCACCAAGCCTGACAACCCGAGTTCAATCCCTGGGACCCACAGGTGCGAGGTGAGAACTAACGCCTGCAAATTGTCTTCTGGCCTCCGTGGGCACATACTAACAGTATCTCCCCCATTCCTACACACACATATATATATACACAAAATAAATAAAAATAATTTAAATGGCATTAGTTAGGGTTGAAGAGATGGATCAATGGTTAGGAGCACTTGCTAGGATCCAGGTTTGATTCCCAGCACCTACATGCTGCTCAAAATCATCAGTAACTGCAGTCCCAGGGGATCTGATGCCCACTTCTGTCCTCTATGAAAACTGTATGCACGGGGCACACAGACACATGTGCAGGCACAAACATAATTTTTTTAAATGAAAAATTAAAGACATTAGCAAGAGAATGAAAAATAAACTGTAGGCTTGGAGAAAATATTTGCGAAACATAAAATGATAGGGAACATTTTAAAATCAGCTATAGGAAATAAAAACAACCCTGCTGAACGGTGGGTAAAGGTCCAAGCAGGCATTTTGTTGAGAATATTAGAGGTGGGAAGTAAACATGAAAAGATATCCAACATGAGAAGCCATTAACAAATGTCAATTCAGACGACAGGAAATAAAATTCTACCCCTCTTCTATAAGAAGGGTGGATATCCAGCACAACCAGTACTGGCGTATATAAGACACGTCATGACTGAGTATGGTGACACACATCTTTAATTCCTTTGCTTAGAAGGCAGAAGCAGAGGCAGGTGGATCTCCATGAGTTCAAGGTCAGCTAGTCTATGTAGGGAGTTCCAGGACAGCTAGGGCTACCTAGAGCCAAACCAAACCAAACCTAACCAAAACAAATCAAAACAAAACCAAAAGCACCAGAATCACTCATCACTGGTAAGAACACAAAAAGGACTTAAGAAGACAGCCTAGTGTTGTTTCACAAACCTAAAACAGCTTTACTTTGGGGGTCCACAGAAGTGGGTCTGCTCCACCTTAACTGCAGGTCAGAGGGCTTAAGCCAACTCTTGCTCTTTCCAAGTTATTGACAAGAAGTCTGACTTAAGGAGTGACTACAAACAAGATATCTTCACCTAGGGTGTGGCTACTTGGTGTTTTGGCTATTAAGATGACCCATAGAGGTGGATCCACTCCACGCTGACCAAAAGTTGGAAAATTCAAGCCTATTCCTGCTCCTCATTTTTAAGACGGGCGGTTTGACCCTGGGAGTGGTTGCCTAGAGGATCCTTGGTCTAAGGTGTTGTTGTAGCACATCCTGCCTAAAGCATCAGAACGCTTAACTCAGGAAATAGTTGCTTGATATTTCAAGCATCGAAGCAAGTAATTGTTCTGTTTGTCCTTTGTGTGATGTTAAAGCAGTCTTTTGCCTTCTTCCCCCATTTTTGGATTGGGGTATATAAGTGTATGGAAAATAAATGTGGGTGTTTTCAGTATTCGGTATTCACTGGGTTGCCCTCCTGGTACTATTCTATATCGCCATTTTTTTCGTATCTCTGTTTCTCTTGCCTAACATTTCTAAACCACAGCTCATTTCCCTGGAACACAGGAACCCATCAAGGCTGGACCCTCACATCTTACCATTTGATCCAGTGACCACTCCTAGGCATTTACCCAACTGAGTTGAAAATTTATGTCTATAGATTCACATGAATGGATGCATTTGCAGTAAACATTTATAGCAAATTTATGCATAATTTCTGGAAACCAAAAACTGCTAAGATTTCCTTTAGTAAGCACACGAATAAATAAACTATAGAATGTCTACATAACAGAGTATTAGTCAACAATAAAGAATAAATAAACAATAAAACTCAAGAAAACATACAAAACAACATCAAATGCATATTACACTGCAGGAAGAGGCTAGCCTGAAAAGGCTACAACTGTGTGATTCCAGCTACGGGACAGACCTGGAAAGGCCGAAACTGTCGACAGCAAAATGATCAGTAGTTGCCAGGGTTTGGGGAGTGAGGGCAGAGACGAACAGAAGAAACAAAGGAGATTTTTAGGACAGCGAAACTATTCTATATGATCCTAAAATGGTGGGTCTGTGCCATTATGTGTTTGTCAAAACCCATTGAACCGGGCAGTACCAACAGTGATCCTTAATGTAATCTCTGAACTTCGGTCAACAATGATGTATCAGCAGGTGTTTGTTCAAAAATGATTGAAATGAACCAAATTCCTATGAGGTGCTAATAAGCAAAGTAAACTGAGCAGGAAGGGAAATATGGGAACTATTCATGCTGTTTGCTCAGTTCTTCCAGATGCACAGAATTCTAAGATCTGTTAGAAAAAAATAAAAAAGATAGTTGAGGTGACTTTCTTAGAGCACCCCACACCCACACTCTTGGGTGTGTCCTTCCTGAGTATTGTCTCTTCCATGTAACATGTGTGCATAAGATCTACATTAAAAGTGTCTTTTAATAAGTTCTGCTTCATAAAACATAGTTAAATGAGGCTGGGCGGCTGTGGCGCACACCTTTAATATTAGCACCCAAGAGGCAGAGGCAGGTGCATCTCTGAGAATGAGGCCAGCCTGGTCTACATAGCAAGTTTCAGTACAACCAGGACTACATAGAGAAACCCTGTCTCGAAACCTGCTCCCCCAATTAGCTAAAAACGAAAAAACACATTGCCAAATAAATATCAGGTATTATTCTTTCAATGATCAAGATTTCTTTCAGTGAATAGAATTTCTTTTGTGTTCCTCCTTGTATCCTTCATTGCTATGAATTCTCTGTGAACTTATAGATTAAGCATTACTTAATTGTCTTGAGAAAGGAGGTTTGTAGGTTTTTTTGTTTTGTTTTGTTTTGCTTTGTTTATCATGGTTAATGGTAAGAAACTGTTAGGACTAAGATTTTACTTGAGTCTACTAGACTTTTGGAGATTCTGCCTGTTGTTCTTCAATAATCTGAGGGTCTTTAAAAAATTATCCCACTCTAATCTACATGGGAAGTGGAAAAAGACAAGATCTCCTGAGTAAATTGGGAGCAGTGGGAATCACAGAAGAGGGCAGAAGGGGGCAGAAGGGAGGAGAGTGAAGAAAAAATATATAGCTCAATAAAAACAATAAAAAGGGTAAAATATAAAATGCAGAGAAAAACTATCAGGCTTCCTAAAACTAAATAAATATTTCCTTTTATTAAAAGGTAAAAATAAATTAAAAAAAGAATCAAACAAGGGCTGGAGAGATGTCTCAGAGCTTAAGAGCACTGGCTGCTCTTCCAGAGGTCCTGAGTTCAATTCCCAGCAACCACATGGTGGCTCACAATCATCTGTAATGACACCCTCTTCTGACCTGCAGGCATATATGCAGACAGAATACTGTATACATAATAAATAAATAAATCTTTAAAAATCAAACAAACAAAAAATTATCCCACTTATGGGTACCTGTTCAAAGAAAATGATGTCAGTATATTAAAGAAAAAACATGCTTGCCAGTGATTTTGTTGGCACATCTCACAATAACTAAGATAGAGTATCCACTTAGGTATCCATCAACAGAATTTTGGTCAGCACGGTGAACAGATAAGATATATACATACATATATGTGTACATATAAACACACACGTATGCATGTATATATGTATATATACATATATACAAATACATATATACTTATAGATGAGTATATAGTTGTGTATATACACATATATATGGTGGCACTTTATTCGGTAAAGAAGAACGAACTCTGGCCATTGGTTGCAGTGTGGGTGAATCTGGAGGCTATGACATCAAGTGAAAGGTCAGACCCAGGAAGAAGCTCATACTCTCTGTCATATGTAAAGCTAAGAAAAGCCAATAAGAAAGTGGAACAGTGGTTCTCAGAGTCCAGGAAGCTGTAGGGAAAGAGACCAAAATACTGTCCGACAAAGACGAAAGTTCTCGATTTGGACGGCCCAGTGGGAGGCTGCAGCCCCCTAGCTGTGTTCTATGAGTGGTGGAAGAGAAGAGCTCACAGGCTCCAAGCATGACATAATGGTGGGAAGAAATGACATGGACTCTATCACCCCCACGCTCAGTACACATAGACCACCACACATTAAAGTGTCATACTGTACACCATATGGATATATAATGAAGACCTAATTACACGTAGACACAGATACAATTTCCTGCCTGTTTACTATGGTCGTCCTTGGTCCTCATCCTCCTAGGACGTGTCCTTTCCCTTGAGATGGAGGCCCTGAAAATGTGTGTGATGATACAGGGAGGGGATGACCCCATGTACTGACCTCCTTCCAGCAATGGTTCATGATCTGGTAGATGTGGGAGGAGGCCAGGCGGGGTTTGTATAACCGAAAGCCAGTGCTGATGTCTTCCACGACCTCCGAGTTGCTCCGGTTTTCATATGGGATTTTACCCTCACTGAAGACTTCCCACATTAGCACACCTAGAAGCAACAGTGAGCAGAACAATAGCTAATGGCAAAGTGCACACGTACAAAACAGACTTATCTAAAAATGACGGAGTCCTTGGAGTTAGCATCCAAGTCCACTCAGTAGACATCTAGAAGTTCAATATCTGGCCCTTAAGACTTATTGGGCTTCCTCCTAATATTTTTTCATTGATTGATTAACTTTTATTTTAAAGGATTTATTTTTTTACTTATGTGTCTGTGTATGTGTTTGTATGAATATATGCTGTGTGTGCAGGTGCTTGAGGAGTCTAGAAGAGGCCACCAGATCTTCTGGAGAGGTTGTGGAGTATATATGAAACACATTTATGTCCAGACGTGGGTTCCATTTCCAGGCTCTCTCCCTTTACTCCCCTCTCTCCATAACTATAAATGCACACACAGACATGCAAATATCCCAGAATCTAAAGTCTAAGCCATTTTTGGCGTCAGGCATTTCATCTGTGGAATCTTAACTTGTACTGTAGAGAGTGAGGAGAACACACCTTCTGGTGGTATGTCTCCCCACATCTGCCACTCACAGGAAGGCTGCCCCAGCTTTGTCTTTAACATGTAGTAACAGATCACAGCCTCCCAGGAGGAAGAGAGGTTACTGATGATGCCCTAACCAGAGCTCTGCAAGGCATAAGTCCAGAGGACTGAGGGATGGAGTTTCCCAAAGTCTGATCGCCAAACACCCAAATAAAAATCAGTTCCTAAACTTGTTCAAATGTCAGACTTCCAAACCCCATCCTAAAACCCTCTTCCCAGGGTTACTATCCTGAGGGCTCCTCTGAGGTGCCCGAGGACCTGGAAATTCAGACTCTATTTCCGTATTCCAAGATGCCAGGCTTTCTAGTGGGGTGTCTTCTGAAAGTGAGTTGTTGTGCGGGGACACAGCTCAGGGTGACTGCTTTATTATAAACCTTCTGAACATGGATGAGGCATGGTTCATACAGGCTATAAACTCCTTTAAGAAGTCAATTGGGGTAAAATGCAGAGATTTTATTTATGACAAAGCCCATTGGGCTGAGGCAGGCAGGAGGCTCTCCGGTCGCAAGGTTGCTGCGGTTTACCCATGTCGCTACCGATTTCTTTCCCTTCTTTCTTTTTTCTTCTTCCCTCTCCCTCCCTCTTTATCCCTTCCCCCTCCCTCCCTCCTTTCTTTCCTCAGTCCCTCTTTTCCTTCCTCCTTTCTGTGTTACCCTGGATGTCCTGGAAATCACTGTGCAGATCAGGCTGGTCTTGAACGCAAAGATGCCCCGTCTCTAGGGAGCTGGGACTAAAGGCCTGCGCCACCACGGTGGGTGCTGCTACCTGTTTCTGATCGTCACCTATCTATCAACCTCACGTCTGGATTCCCTTCAGGAAGGGAGGCATTTTAAACTAATCTTCTGGAGAACAGCAGAACATCCTCTGGCTGAAGTGCTATGACGTCACAGGCTCCATTCTGAGTCTGCAGGTGGAGGTGCAGGTATGGCTGGCACTCGAAGCATCTTTGGGAGGCCCTGCCTTGGCAGTGTCTGTAACTCCATTAGCCATGGAGAGATGGACACACACTGTCCCTAGCTGTCCTCCACACTTGTGGACAGTTGTGCAAGGATGATGCCAGAACAATCTCCCCCAGGGTTCATTCTGTAACTTCTACCTAGTTAACAGAGTAATGGCCAAGCATGGAGATGGGGTTGGATTAAGGAATAGATCAGAAAGATTCATAATTAACATGCTCTGGACTCTTGGGAATGGGCATTCTACAGTGTGAAGAAAATCCTATCATTGATTCTTATCTTGGGCTATCTGACTGGACAGCATCTCCTTTGCTTATACCACTGAGGTTTGTGCCCTAGTAAACCTCTTCTACAGAATGACAAGGTCAACCTGAAGCAGTTTCTCTCCAAAGATCCCTCTTTATCGCTATCACACCACAGAGGTTATTTGGTGCATTTTCATGTACACTGTTACATGCAGAAATTATGACTTAGGCAGACATAAAATCCAGCAAGTCACTTAGCCTTTCCCACGTCACATAGTCCATCCATCCATCCATCCATCCATCCATCCATCCATCCATCCATCC